CGCGGCTGGGCCGGCGAGGAAGGGGGGGAGGAGGTGGTGGAGGAAGGGTTGCTGCTGGAATCTGGCTGGTAGGGCACCGGGATGTGGTCCTGCAGGACACGGGGAAGAACAGAAGAGAGGAGCTGGTGAGAGCAGCGTTGGCTCCAAGGTGCTCCAGTGCAGAGGGGCCTGGGGGACAAGGCAGAGCTACACAGGTCATCCCAGTGCCCTGCTTCCAGAAGCCCTAAAAAAACACAAGAGCCCCAGCCTGGATTTTTCCACAGCTGGTTGTGTCCATGGTTTGCACCAAGGCCAGGTCACACCAGCGATGGGGCTCCTTTGCCAACCCCTCCATGCTAAGCACCCATGGCTGAGGGGTCCCCAAAACCTTCTGGCTCTGCAGAGCCATGACCACCAAGACTGGAGCTGGGGGCCACATGGCTGGGGCTCAGTCTTGAGAGACATCAAGGACCTGGCAGCTTCTGCTGACCTCCTTCGAGCCAAAACCCCAGTGCCTCGCCCAGAGCAGGAGGCTGAGCCAGAGCAGGTTTGAAAGGACCAGCCAACACATCCCAAGACCTTCGTTGCCCTTTGTTGAGCCTTTTTAATCAAGGCAAGGTCAACAGCTTCAGATGCACCTCTCTGGGATAAGAGAGGACCACCAGGGGACAAATAAGGAAGAAAATCTGTCTGGATATCTTAGACTGGAAAAGGCAAATTGAGGCCAGAATTTCCCACCTCGCTGCACAGCTCAGAGACACTTCACAGGGTCTGACCTTCAGCAGCACTGAGCACTCCCATCTCCATGGCAAGATCCCTCCAAGGTTAGAAACCCTGCACCAGCTTCCCCCAGCAGGTAATTTTGTCCAAATTGATTGCTTTATAAAGAAGCTGGGCTTTCCAGGAAGCCCACATACATCTTAGAGACCATCCTGGCACACACGACAACCTTGGCTTGGTGATTTTTTTAAACCAACACTGAAAGCCACTGACAATAAGATTTCAATAGTAGTCACAAAGAGCAGGGTGTCTCTGAAGAAATGTTTTTAGAAACATCAAAGAAAGGGCCCCTGCTGCATAAAGCACATTTACAGAGGAAACTTGAACCAGAATAGGAGTGCTCAGGTCTAAGCCAAACAGATGAATTTATACACACACGCACTATGCATCGTCATACTCTGCTTAGAGAAAAGCTGGGAAAGGTCAAAGGACTGCAAGGCAGAGGCAGGAGAAGCAAGGCTGATGCCCTTCCCACCCACAGCCTTTATCAGTGAGCTGCTCTCTAATAAAATGAAACAAATCACTGGAAGGTCAGGCACTAAAAAGAAAAGCACATCTCTATTTCTTTTGAATGCCTGCAGTAGCTCTCCAGCTTCAAAAAGCCCTTTGTACCCCCCCCCCCATAACCACCCCAGCAGAGCAGATCGTTACACTAAGGACCTCCTAAGAGATCTACAGTCAAAAATTGTCTCCAGGAGAGCATCATCCGTTGCTGAGAGCCAGGAGATGCTGAGGTCTGGGAGGAGCTGGGGGTCCTGCTGGGCTTTGGGGAGCCAGGGGTTTTGATGACTTGTTCCCCATCACACGGAGGGTTTCCCTTGCTTTGAGCACTTCCAGCCTGCAAACACCTCCCCCCTGTGCTACCTCCATCCACCTGCAAGAAATTTTCCACTGAAGGCAGCAGGCTCCAAATTTCATCAGAAATAACCCCATGCTGGTTTTATTGCCATTAATGCAGGGCAGAAGTGAAGCGAGGCAGGTACAGACCATCGGGTCTGGCCTGACCAGCTTTGCCAGGGACATGCTCAAATTCTGGGCTTGTTTTATTTGTAACAATAATTTTGTTCTTTATGGAACTCTCAAGAGATAGCAAAGACATCAAACCACCTCAAATTCAGCTTAGATCTAGAGGATGAGAAGCCACAATGGAGCAGGACTGGCAGGACACAGGCTATTTTGAAGCACTGATCCCATTTTATTTTTAAAAGAAGTCACCTTGGGAGACGTAACCCCTGGTAGGAAACCCAAGGGGAGGAGAGTTTACAGCTCTGTTTGGAGCACAGCTCATCCCACCCCAACACTAGGCTCACTCCTGCTCTGCTCCTTCAGTCAGCACCAGTCCATAGGATCATGGGTTGAATTTAAGACCCCAAGGAGGTTTGTAGGCAGCTCCTACCCACACAGTGACACATACCCACATCATCCCAAAGCAGTGGATGTGCTTGGAGACCCACGGAGCCACCCCCAAGGCTTGGTCCTGGCACAGGGCTGTGGGGCTGGGAGATGCCCCATCCTGGGGACAACTCACCAGTCCCATTTCACCCCAAGGCAAAGTTGGGGCACATCCCCTTTTGTTCTTAAATTCCTTCTTGGAGAAATTACTCTCCAAGTTAGGCTTCTGCTCAGCAAACAGGATCAACGTTCCACAGGAAGATGTGCTAGGAAAGCTGCTGCTCCTCAGGCAAGGAGCATCCCCACTGGGAGACTCAAGGCTCTCGGGTTGTGGTTCAAGCAACCCAACTCGAGTGGCATTTGAAAATGCCAGTGGCTTGGGCACTCTCATCGGCAAGAGAAGCCACACAAAGAACTGGCAAAAGGCACTGATGTTTTGGTGACACGAGGCTGGGTCCCTTCTGGCAGGGGGTGGGTGCAAAGTGGGTGTTTGGGACCAGGGGAGAAGCTCACCTTGTTGAGTTTGTTGGTTTTGGGAAGCGTCTGGCTGACGTGCAGGTCCGAATACCTGGGGGGTTTCCTCAGGGGGTTGTTGATATCGCAGGGCACTGACTCTGTCCGGACTAACCTTGCTGGATTAAGAAGGGAGAGAGGGGTAAAGGGGGTGGAGAGGAGGGGGAGAGAGATGGAGAGACATCAGAGCTCTGGAGGAGAACTTGTGGTCACCCTGTGCTTGCAAACCGCTCT